ATTGGTGGGGCGTGCTTACCCAAAACCAATTTGGGCTTGCTGGTGGTCATTTTTGCTGAGGTATCATGTTTAAATGGCTTTATTTAACTGTTAGTGCTCGGGGGCACCCCCCAATGTATACACATGTAATCCTAAAAACATGATTTTTTTGTAGAACCAACGTCAATACAGCCAGATGTTGATTGGTCGTGCTCACATGGCAAATGGAGGGTGACAGAGATCAATTCAGCCAGTTTCACCGGTGTTGAGTTCATTCAGTGTTGCTGGTTGTTTTCCAACTGAACACATTCCGTTGATCATAGCGGACCTGTATGCATGATGTGTAAGACCTCTATTTTGGTCACCGCTTAGTTGGCAGTTTGGGTTGGGTCTTTGGGATTACACCTTTGTCAGTTAAAGTGGATGGATGGTTAGTGCTTAGTCATCATCTCGAAGAGGCTAAGGGTTTCCCTCTTGCTAAGGTGGCAAAACACGGCAGAACACCCACGGCCCCAGTCATGTCTCCGTGGTTTTGATACTTTCCAGGGATTAACCTCCAACACTGCCCGCTGCTACAAGCCTCTTAGCTCGTTAATGCGGTCGTTCTACCGCCACTGTTCTTCATGGAGGCTTGTCAAGCATCACCCCCCCGCCCGTGCACACTCTGGCACAATGAACAGGTGATCATGCTTTTAGGGAATGCATTTTTTGTTGAGCACCCCGAATCGATGGGGGGTACTCGATTCGGGAGCAGGGTTCCAGCTTGGTGGTACCAAGGCTGACGGGAAAACAAAGAAAGGGTTCCACTTTGGGGGCATTGAGCAGTCTCGTTTGGCCTCCATACCTTCAACAAAAATACACCTTGCATCAGTGGTATATTCCCTTCGTACCTCCAAAACTCTTACCTGAAATTGTCCCATAGGTGAGTTTTCGCCTGGCACGGGTGATGGGAATTGCCCCCCTCCAATCATGAAAGCTGACAGCTATGGAAGGCGACTTTCCTGTAGGGGAAGCCCCTGTCCACTTCCTTCGTTGGAATTGGGCACGCCCTTGTTGGGTCCCAACGTGGGGGTGACACATACCCAAATCTGGTATTCTTACTTTGTGGATTGGACGGAACAAATCAACTTGCCACTTGATTTGATGGAGTTATAGCTTGATTCTCCAAGCGAATCGACCTTTTCACCTTTTTGTTTTCTTATTTTGGTCCATTCATGGTTGTTGTTGGGAAACATGTTACATGTTTGCTTGTTGTGGTTCGGTGGTTGAAATCCCCGCTTAATTGCTATGTTTTCAGTTGTTGCTTCCCTTTTAACGTCAACCAAGCATTCTTAGTCAAGGTCCCAAAAGTCGGCACCCTTTCCTGGGTCCTTTGGGCAACAAATCCTTTCTTCCAGGACCCCCTGAGAATAAGGGATTTATTCATCAGCTAGGTTCCCCAGCTAGGTGCCAACTTTTACCGTTTCTTTTTTGGTTGGGAGGGTTCCCCCACTAAAATAGACTACAGAAAAACGCTGGTACCCTTATTCTAACCTCTCTACTGCAGGACCTAGTCAGGGGTACCGGGGTACCCAGTAGGGAAGCTATTCATCAGGGGTACACTGTTTTTGGTGGCTCCATTTAACCCACTAAAAGTAAATAAGCTCAGGCGATATCCCCAACAGCACCCCACCCTCCCACCAGAACCTCGCCTCGTGGAAGCCTGCTGGAACCCTGGTGGAACCCTCGTGGAACCTTTCCTCCCCAGACTACCCCGGAGCCTAGGGCTGAGACCCCAAAGCTTTCAGCTGTTGGGGAAAAACAGAAAGTTAGCGGGGGATCTGAGGGCCCAGAGCAGCGAACCCCGCACTTTGGTTTTTTGTTTTGGGCACTTTCTCGAAGGCCACATGTGCTCCTGGCAGTTCGCCTCCTTGTCGGAGCTCTGCCGGGAGATGGCCAACCCCGGCCAGCCGGGTGCCCGGATCGCGACGCGGCGATCCGTTTTGGGGTAGGTGCACTACTCACTATATAGTGGGGATTGGGATGTTCACTGGGGGTACGGGAAATTGACCCACAGCCATATGGGCAAACTATAACGTGCTCACCTGGGACAGAATCAAGCTCATCCATGGTTGCTGTGTCCTCACTTTCGGGGAATTGTCTTCTTTCGGGCTGTCAATTCTAGTCATGTGCCGCCCAGGTGCATGTTTTATGGGGACCCCAACGGTGCGGATCGTCATACGCCAGTTGCTCAATCGCAACGCACCCATCAAACGCGGAGAACTTGGCAAAGAGTCGTTCTGTGTCATGCAAGCTCGAATCTTTGTGCCTGGGTTTATTGGCTTGGTTGTTTATGCTTCTAAACACGCTGACACTATTCGTTTGGAGGAAAAACACCTATTTTGTCGCAGTCCCATGTTTCTTTGACGGCCTTCAATCGACTGCCAAGCAAGTGTTCAGCAGCATGAGTTGTTGCACACATGTGTTTCATTTGTGGCCCTCCACTAAACACTGTTTCATCTATAAGGGTAAGCCTGGATTTCCCTTATAACTATTTGGCAGCCACAAGGGAACCATGGTTGTGGAGAAAGGGGTTTGGGGCCCAGCTTTTCATTCTCAGGGTCTCTGAAAAGATACGTTCAGAAACATTTTTCTCAAGCCTGGGCGCACGCTACAGCGGATGTTGTTCGCAGGCCAAGCTGTGTGATTTGCTGACGCTCCTGTTGGACACCCCAATTGCGAGCAGCTTTTGAAGAATCGCGTAAAACATAGTCGGGGTGCTGCCAGGCTGCGCCCCTGATATATAAGAAGACTTGTTCCGGTGAACAACCCAAGAGAATGCCGTTGAAGTGATGGACTGGTCATGGGGATGGGAATTCCACTCTGGTATCATATAAAGGTGCAATCATTTTCCGAATCCATGATGGCTTCCCCTGTATCCAACATGGAGAGCCGTTGGCATGGTCGACCAGAGGCCAAAGAATGGAACACCATTCCACGTTTCGATCCCCGCGAGGTAGGCTACCCAGGGCAGCCACTGGGCTTTGGTCTACCTTCGAGTTGTCGAAACAAAGAGGGATGTCATTTATTTGGAGGTCTCCATGGTTTTGACACGCCCATGTTGCCCGAAGAGGAGATCGATCAACTGTTCAGGTTTCCAGTAGTCTGTGGGACACCAAACAGTGAGGGGACCGTGAACAAGCTCTGTTCACTGGGCGTGCACCAGGGCACAATGTGTTTTATAACCCATTTCCTATGTGGTGTGTCTCAAAATTGGGGAACCCGCGACCTTCCGCATTAACAGTTTTGCTTCTAGTCTCCCTTTGAACCATCTCGTACCCTTAAGAACCGACGCACCTTCCCCACCCCATTTCAGTACTGGTTCCATTTTCCCTTTTATGGGAAAGAACTACATGGCATTGAGGGACCCCCCACCCCCTCCCCCTTAGGGCCCACTGCGAGTTTTTTCCCCTTCAAGCATTCACCTGCCAAAAGCTTTGAACGGGAATGTTGAAAGAGCCCCAGCTGCCGCAAGAAGTGGCTCAAGGGCTTCGGAATGAGCGGGGTTTGAATGGCCCAAGAGCCCCAAGCTAGGGTTTCAATGGCCCAGCCCTCAGCTGGTTTCACTGGGCCCATGGGAACCAAAGAGCCATCGCTTCCGGAAGAAGTTTTTTGCTCGAGGCCGCCGCCCCGGGCGGACTTCTCCGACTGCATGGGGCATTTGGTGAGTGTCCGGGACCCAGGTTTCCGATGCCAAACCCTTAAGGCCTTGTGAAGGCCCAGTGGTTCCTTTGGGCCACGAAATGATTGAAATGTAGAAGATTGGTTTGGTTTCTGTTGAGCCAAGCAAAGACTTCAGGGGCAGGAGCTTGGCTTCCTTGCGTTTCCGTTCCCCCGTTCAGTCGACCGGTGCACCACCGAGCCGAGATTCCGAGCCAAAGAAAGTGGTTTGGGTTCGGCGTTTGGAGGGCCGAGCGGGCAGACCCATGGGGTAGACAACCGGTTTGGCATCTTTCGGATGTCCGTGAAAAGGACGAAATCCTTGGGTTGGGTTACTTTGGCGTCCTTATAATTACAGCCCCGGGGTCTTGTGTGCATATTCATCTGGAGAGTATCCTTGGCAGTGCCCAAACCTGGATGTGAGCCGCAATTTACACGAGAAAGCAAAAGGATACCAGGATATCATTATGTTATGAAATGCTCATTTTTGTCCGCACACGGCAGTTTTCAATCCATGTAGCGCTCATTCCTTCGAGATCGTGCATTCCAGGCTCAACTTTTTTCTTTCTTTCTTTTTCCGGAGCGCATGACCCGGAGGGCCTGTTGTTTTTTCCGGCACCATCGCTCAAGTCTGTCTTCCCCAGTGCAAGGAAAGGCAGGGAGAATCACATCCATCTCCAGGTGTTCACTGGCGGGGTGTGCAAGGACCGTAATTGGATTAAGCCGCAAAGTGGTCATTAGTGGAGCTACCATGCAACTCCGCACAACATTCAGGCTGTAGGCTGTAGGGTTATGAGAACTTGACGGCCACAGACTGACCTCAGTGAAAACATGTTTTTGTTTTTGATCATTGTTTATCGTTCAGGGGATCATTTGGGTGATCATTTGGGTTGTAGGGGTCCCCGCGAAACCATTGAAACAAGCGAAACTGGCTTGTAGCGTCGCTTTCCATTTCATTCTATGGCTTTCGGTGCGACAGGTGACTGCTCCGCTTTTGTCCATGGGAAAGCCATGTCAGCTTCTCACTGCCACACTGTCAAAACATGTAACTTCCAGGATGGCACGTGTGCGAATCAAAAGAAGTTCTCGCTGAGGAGTTCAGATTCGTTCATCCGGGCCTAGCAAGATGTTGCTCAGAGACAGAAGTGGAAACGGAGAACCAGTGAGCTTCAACTCCACGGGAGGTACAGATCTGTTTCTCGCAATTGTTCAGATAGAGGATGCATGAAGATCAAAGGTCACCACAAATCTGCTTGCATACTAGCTTTCGGCGTAGCACCCTTTTACAGGACATATGCTGGGGTCATTATCTTGGCCATTTCTGGAGGTTGTCAAAGTGAGAAACTGGGGTGTCGCTTTAACCTACCACTTGGAGGGTGACTTTGATACTGCTGGAACAACCGCGTCACATACAGATTTGCAGCCGGTTGATCTCAAGATATATATTTTCTCGCAAGGTATCGAGAATGTCGGTGGCCAGCAAAAGGGCCTTGTAAATTCGGATCTTCCTGCAGACGCGCGGATTGCTGGTTTGATCACCCCTTGGGCCATTCCCCAGATCCGGAGCCCATCACATGTCGCTTTGGTCGCAGCTGTCACCGACCAGACTGCATATTTGATCATCCGGCTGGTCGAACGATAGATTCCACGGCTACAGAGGATCGCATCTGCGTGTGGTTTCAGAAAGGAAAGTGCAGAAACGGGCAAGGCTGCCCCTTTCAGCATGTCCAACAAGAGCGTGATGCTAATGTGATAGTAGTGCGTAATTTGTCAAAGACGGAGGATGTTTCTCAGTTGGAGGACAGGATTCTGATGTACTTCAAGCAGTTTGGATACGTTGCCCGGGTGCAGGTCAAGACTGACCTTGACGATCGGTGCAGAGGCTTTGCTTTTGTCGTGTTTGCCGACGCACGCAGCGTTGATGGTGCATTGACAGCTAGTCATGAGACCTGGGATATCAAGCGAAAAGCAGACTTGCCGATGTACATTGAGGGAGGGCCGATCCGAAAGACGCCAAAGACGCGCGCAAGTCCCTTGGGTGGTCCAGCCCGCGTACCGTTCAGCGCCCATGATCGAGTCCTTCTTGTGGGTGAAGGGGACTTCAGCTTTTCGTTGGCCTGTGCTGCCTTGGGCTATTTGAGCCCGGGGAAAACCTGCGCCACTTCCAAGGAGCCGCCGCGAGATGAACAGAACCTGGTCGAGCTCGCTCGGCAAGGAATGTGCTGCCTCACTTCGGTGGATGCTACGGAGCTGACCTTGACAGAAATCTTCGACATTGCCGTGTTCAACTTTCCGCACACTGGCCAGCCCAGCGTCGAGGCCAACCAGGATTTGCTGCAAGGATTTTTTGGGAGCGTCTCCAAGATTCTGTCACCAGGTGGTCGGGTTGCTGTCACTTTGAAGCAGACATGGCCGTATTCAGAGTGGGGTCTTGAGGCTTGTGCCAGACGGGCAGGATTCAAAGTTGCGGATGCGTACCCATTTCCTGACTGCACATGAACAAAAAAACCGCCGCTTCCTCTTTGCAGGCTTGAACGCTGCTTTTTTCGCAGCCCTCTTTCAGGCCGCACACCTTCCCCAGAGTCATTCCATGTCCACGACTTGGGACCTTCGGGAAGCCAAAGACCCGGGCCTGTCTCGGTCGTGTCTGAGAGCCCAGGTCCTGAGCATGCTACTCTCCAAGCTCATTGGCCCCGAGCTCGGGCAATTAAGTGAGCATTTGGGTTCTGGGTCCCTCGAAGTGAACATGAGGGGCTTCCAACATCTTCCAACAGCCACGTGGGTTAAGGAACTTGAGGCGAGGGGCTTCCGAAATCTTACAAACTTGTTTTTTTGAGCGCCATTTCCCGTTGAATTCTTTGTGTGTGTGTGTGTCGAGGGTAAGTTGGACTTGGGCGGACCCAGAAACAGAGTGGGCAAATGATATCTCGAGCGCCCCTTGCCAAAAAGCAGCATGCCCTTTCTAAAAGGAAACATGTTGGTCGTCCAAAACGATCAACAAATTGTAACAATGCTTGAGCTGACGGCTTTGACGTGAGACCGATTGCATGAAGCTTTCGTTCTTGGGTGGTCCATTTCTTGTTTCAGCTTGGAGAATTATTGTTGCGCAACTGTATTTCACCCAGAAACGGTGGCTGTTTGGGGAAACCGACCGGGCGAGTCCAACCATGAGAAAGGTGCAGGCGTCTGCCAAATCCCTGGTTTCAGCAAAGTGAATGATTTCATTTAGACCTACCGTGGATGGGCAAAATGCCGCACCACCTAAGAAACCCTGGAATGTTCGATTCCAGGGTAAACCAACAAGCAATGGTTTCCCATGGCTTCAAAGTGGTGCGCACGGATTTCGCAACCATCCACCGTTCTGCCTGTTGGGCGAGCTTACCTCTAAGGGTAAAGCCAGCCTCGATGTATATCTGCAAATCCCTGTTTCAGGTGGCCATGGGTCATAACCTATGCCGATCCCATTTTGGGGCGGATGAACACCCATGTACCACCTATTTTGATGTTCACCAGGGGTACAGGGTTTTGACCCACAGCCAGGTGTTGAAAATTATTGTAAAGCATCGCAGGTGTATGTTTTAGGCGGACAAGGAGATGAGTAAACACGGATGTTTGCAGATGGCACTACTTGAGGGAGCTACGGATGTTTGCTGGCTTCGAGCCAGGGCGATGTTTCGAGTTTCAGGTACCGAATGTTTCAATTCTACCGGAGTTGTGGTTGACATGTGCGCCAGGGTCGAAAGTTGGCCCATTGCGACACAGCACGTGGTTGTCAATTCTTTGGCCCTGGGATTCTAGGATGTTGAAGGGAGACCTTGAATTTTGTGAACATCTCCAGAATGTTGATTACGTGACACACCATGTTGATTTGGCTCCACTCTTGTTTAGATCCCCCTTGCCTGGCTTGAGAGCGCCAGTTCTGGCTGTAGATTTTAAGTTTGTTAACACTTCCCCTCCAAAAGCCTCCAGTTTGTGGGTTGCTCCAGGGCAGCACCCCATTGATTCAACAAAAACTCACGTGGTTCGCGTGAATGTCCGGAATTTGGCCGGCTTAGGACTCGGCTACTTCGAGCGCTTCCGACTGGAGATGGAAAATCGGCAGCGAGAGATGCCGGGCACCCGAGTCGGTTCACCGGGCGCTACTCAGAAGAGGGGCTGGACGAAAGCTCATGTGCTGTTTGCACACACACATCAGGAGTGGACCTTTTCGTTGCAACAGGTGCGGCCTTACTTAGGAGCCTCCCAGATAGCTTTTGCATCATGTTGGCTCCCTGCGAGCACCGTCCTTTTCCAGCGCTTTTCTCTTTTAGTGCAACTGTCAGGTTCAAACGATTCATCAGAGTAACGGCCGTTTGAGTTCCCTTTCCAAAGTATGAAACGGACAAGAGAGGGCATGCGCTGAAGCTTTGCCCGCTGGTGTTTCGGTGCTGTCGGATGGTTGGGGCCCAAATATGTTCCTTTGGTTAAATTGGATGCCCGCACGCCATTTGGCTCAAGTTCCTTTGCGCGCAGCCATGCACGCCTGGCAAGAAGATACAATCGCTCTGGCTGACAGGAGTAAAGGAGTTCGCTTCCTGAAAGCCCCGAGGGAGCGACATATGGACAGCCCTTATGAACCCTTATTTGGTTATCCTTTGGTCATTTCTCTTTATTGGGTGCTATCATTAAATCGTACTCGCTGGGCGCTATCCATCATGTGTTGGAGTTCTCGCTTCTTGGCAGGTTGTCAGCCGTAAGATTCCATTTGTCCGCGCAGGCAATCGCAACTCTCAGGTGCCATGCGCCCACACTGTAGTGGCGCGTCGCCACGGAGACCGAATGCTGCAACGCTTGGCCATGATGGCTCAGGGAGCTCGGCTGCAGCGCTGGCCGCGCCAGCTATGTCTGACTCTCCAAAGGGCAGCGCGAGGTGACGTCAGCACCAGAAGTTCGGACATAATTTCATGAGTGATGCGCTTACAGAGCTGCATCGGGGAGACTCTGGCGGCGTGATCCGAATTCAGGAAGCATGGGCTGAGGGCACGCAGTAAGGAAATGGAGAAAGCTGAAGCCAGAGCCTGTGATGAGGAGGACAATTAAAGCAAGACGGCCGCAGCTGTCAATTCGCCAAGCGGAAAAGAACGAGGAACGAGCCGCAAGGTGCAGCAACATGAGAACGTGGACCAGCTGACGTGGGATGGACGTCCAGAACCTGGAAGGATCGCTCGCGGAGAGCTGTAAAAATGTTGTACCCTGACTAAAACATCGCGTTTTTCTCGATTTTCTGAAAACATCGTGTTTTCAGCAAAAACATTGTTTTTGATAAAACCCCTTAAACATGGGCTTCTGAGGCCAAACTCATTTGGAGCAAAGGGTCAAAGGCAAGGGTCGGGAGTGGAATTCACACACACATCACCCATATGAGGGGCAGGCCTCTATAATGAATATGCTTCAATTTCTAAGGCCCACATTGATGAGCCTGACAGCCAGGGTGCGCAGCTGGCTTCAGTCTTCAATTACCTTCACAGCCACAGGCACCTGAAGACTGGCACCAGGGGGTGCTGGAATCCCAAAAGCAAGACCAGGTGCCACCTTTTGAGATTGTTTTTTTGCTGAATGAATGTGAGTTGTTTTTGGAAAATGGGGCGGGATATTGGGCGATAAGGGCAGTGTGTACTCACGCAACCACCTCATCCACTTCCCTTTTTCTTGCGTATCCGAACCATGGCGTACTTCCTTGCAGATTAGCTTGGGCACCGCCAAAGTAACACCATTCTTAGAGGAAGCTCCTTTTGGGGGACTCCAGTCATAGCCATCTCGAAGGCATGACCGTCTGCAGAGCGGCCTCTATGTGAACACCGAAGAGCAGGATAAAACGTTTCGGATGGAAACCTGGGTCTTGAGTGCGGTTTGCCAGAACGTTCGAAAGGAAATCACTCATGTTGCGATTCTTTCATGTTGAGTAAACCTAATTTGAAGATTTGTTATCCTTTTTGGGGTACTTCCAAAATGTGTTGAAGGGACGCCAAAATGGGAAGGAACCATGCACCTTTTTGAAGACAAACCCAGGCGGCCACTGCAGTTTGGCCAAATTGTGAACCCTCCATCAGCAACACGTGTTTTAACATGTTGCCTTGAGCTTGTGCTCAGACACTGGTTGTTAGCGAAGTAGAACCAAGTTGCAAGTTCCACAGGCGATCATTTGCCCCATGGATGTTGATGCAAGGTGTTGAGTACGTATATCCACAAGCCTGATGTGTTTGGTTGCAGTGATTTACGATTTTTCATGTGTTTGCACAAAGGTGCGCGAATACAGTACAAGCACGATTTGGACAGAGGGACACGTTGATACGGCGGCGCTTCTCACTCCTTGAACGCGTTGCGCATGCATGAGCCATCAGTTTGCTTGGGCCAAAACTCGGTGGCCGGTTCCTCGAACTTGGTTCCTTGCTTGAACCGCATCAGCACAACAAACGTTGCTACCCGTCAAGGATTTCAGCTGTGATTGATTGTGATTAGTATTTTACGTGGAGGTCACCAGGTTCTTTGGAGCTAACGAACTGGAGAGGCTTCTGTGCTGGACATGGGGCACTTGTGCCTGGTTTCTGTGAGAAGTCTAAGTCAGTCTTCATATAGTTGTTTCCAGGACCAGCTACCAGGTGTTTTTGTCGTGTTTTTTTTTGGGAAGCCCCGCTTTGCGGGTTCTCAAGGGAAACCAAAAGGGACACCGACCCCTTTTTTAGGGTTCCCCTCTTTTGCGACGAGCCCACTACCTAGGTTATAGCCCACCTATAAGTTCCCCCCAAACCGGGGTTTCAACTTGTTATAAGGACGGCTATAGCCCAAATGGCCAACCACTTACTAACTTGGCCGCACATCCAAGTAGGTTTTGTGTTTTTTTTGGAGGACACCTCGCAGACCTACCAGCTGCGGTGGGTCACAGACCTCTTCGCCGCCATGCACCGCCTCGTGCAGGCGAGACGAGCACACGGAACATGAATCGTGCCCACATAGGAGGGCGAAACGCTGGCGTCCTGTGGACAGAAGGCGCTTTGTAGGGTCAAGAATGGGAACCCAGGATTGAAGCCTCATGTTTGTTGTTGTTGTTATTTTGTTGTTGTTTCTTTTTTGGGAGGGGTGGGTGAATTGATATGGTATTAGAATGCACCCAGATTGATTGACCCCTAGGCACTGAAGCCCTTGCTTGTTTCGGGTAAGTGTTCTTCTGGCAATAGCAGCATGGGGTGTGCAACTCCAGGGCTCGCTTCCCTAATGGGTTTTGATAAAGTAAGCACACCATTTAGGGCCTTTGCTGATGTATGATTTCTTTGAGGTTCGGATGTATTGTGACGTGTGCAAATTCGAATGTGCGCCCAGGATGAATCATCCCTTGGTTGACGGTGATCAATATCCGATCTCACAATCAACATAGGTGTTTCTGTTTAGGAAGTGCCACTTGACGGTTCTGTGTTTAGAGAGAGAGAGAGAGAGACTTGCGATTAGCATGTGCCACAGGACCCACT